TCATTGGCAAAGAGAGGTAACCTGTAGCTGTCATCTGACTTAGTTAATAGAACAACAGTGCACCAGTTCATTAAACTGCCATATCCTGAAGGCCCCCCAAAAATAGTACAAAAGAGAATTCCATTATTTTAGAAGTCCCCTCTGTTGGAACTATCTCAAAGAAATTTGCCGGAAAATACTGAGGCTCTACCTCATTATAATGCCTTCCTCTTCAGATGATTTAGAAACTTCCTCTCCTCATATCCTAGTCTCCAATCTTCATCCCAGTTCAGCAGGAAGTAGCCACAGCAGCCAGCATTCTCATACCCATCAGGATTGATGGGTAATGAGAGGCAGGGGGAACTGAGATAGAGTAAAGACCCCTCTTAGAAGCCTACCAGCTACCCTCGACTCTAAGCATGCAAATAAGGGAAAATCTTGAGTTTCTTCAAGAGAAATTCCAGGCACTTAGCTAGCCCTGAAAAGTAAATAAGCACCTTCATAAGCACAGAGGAAATCATACCCTAAAACAATAGCTAAAAGTTCAGAGTCGGGGAATGCTTGGTTCACTATAGAAACTAAAGAAAACATATCAATGTATGTCCCCAAGTTATTTGTCATAAACCTAGTCCCCTATTAAATGGATCTGCTGGTGTGTAGACATCAGATAAGGAGGAACTGAAGACTGAGCTCTGATTTTCTGTTCTTCAGTCTAGATTTCTTCCTGAGTGACCTGGAGGAGGTCACACCCAGGAGCCAGAGCTCACGTTCTTTTCTGCTGATCCCAAATGTTTAGACAAATCTCTGCTTCCTTAAACAATAGCAAATCAGAAAATCTTTGAATCCACTATGACCTTGAGGCCCCTGTCTTTTTAGGCCAAACCAATGTATAGTCCCCATGTATTGATTTAAGACTTTTGTCTGTAACCTCTGCCTCTTCGCCTTTAAAACCCTTACCTGTAAGCCATTGAGGAGCTTGGGTCTTAAGCCTTAGCTGCCCAATTCTCCTGGTGCCCTGCAATAAATGCTTCACTTTCTGTCACTGCAATCCCAATTTCAGTGTCTGTCTTTGCTGCACCAAGCAGGTAGACTGGAATTCAGTTTGGTAACACTGTGGGGACACAAAGCTCTGCTGCTATGTCATGGGGACTATTTTCTGGTACCACAAGGTCTTTCATACTAATAGAACTGCCTCTTGGCCTAGTTCAATCTTGATTCTGCCATCAAATTCTGGCCTATGTGAATCTGAGAGAATGTTTACAAAGACCTCCTGAGAAAACTGTGGGTCCCAAAGCCAGCAATGTAGGCCATTATTTTTCAGACCCTAATATCAATTCTGCTCATAAAAGATATGGAAAAAATCCAAAGGTGTTTTTTTCTACTCTCACTCACACATCACTCAATACTTCTGACACCAAATGTTGGGGGATCGTTCTACACATACCAAGTGTTTCTCTAGTGGATACCAGCTAGGTGGCCAATCGTTCAATTCTGACAATCCCTCCCTGGAGATAGCTTCAGATCCCATGGGTTAAAGGCTCAGTCTGACAAGAGTGTCCCTCACTTCAGGTGTCAATCACAAACCCCAGGTTGTGACTTGTTTCTGACTGACCAGCTATAAATTGGGGTTCCCATGATCCCCTCCTCAAGATCTATCAATTTGCTAGAGCAGCTCAGAGAACTCAGAGAAACACTTTACTTATATTTAGCCGTTCATCATAAAGGATATTACAAAGGATACAGATGAACAGCAACATGGAAAGATACACAGGACAAAGTATGTGAGAAGGGGCGCAGAGCTTTCATTCCCTTTCCAGGTGTGCCACCCTCCAGAAACCCTCTGTGTGTTCAGATATTAGTGAGCTCCCGGAATCCTGCCTTTTAGGTTTTCCTGGAGGCTTCCTTATATAAGCATGAGTGATTCTATCATTGACCATTGATGATCAACTCAACCTTTAACTCTTAGCCCTTCTCCCCTCCCCAGAGGTTGGTGGTGGGGCTGAAAGTCACCAACCCTCTCATCATGCCTGGTCTTGCAGTGACCAGCCTCATTCTGAAGCTACCTAGGGGCTCTCTACCACCAGTTACCTCATTAGTATACAGAAGGCATGTTTATCTTTCTGGAGATTCCAAGGGTTTTTAGAAGCTATTTGTCAAGAAACGGAGGAAGACCAGATATATATTTCACAATATTGCAGCCCCAAATGATGATGTAGTGACCAGCTATTAATGTTATTTGCCATCTAAAAAATAGTGGACATGCTAGAAATACTATCAGTATCAATGCCACTTTTAGGGTGTGATAAATAACAATTTATAAATTTTTAAAATAGTAATTTGGGGTTTTTAAAAGAAATTTTAGGTGGGTGAGGGGAGAAATGGTTTGTTAACTGTCGAATTTCTAAAGTGAGGCTGTGTGTGTTTGTGTGTGTGTGTGTGTGTGTGTGTGTGTGTGTGTGTGTGTGTCTGTGTGTGTGTGTGTGTGACTTAAAGTGACCGTTGGACTGTCTGTTAGCTAAAAGAGAAGAAAAGTCACGAGTTTACCTAAATCTTTATTCAGGGGCCAGAGAAAAATATTTCCCCATTGAATAAATTTTCAAGAAACAGGGAGGGACTAAATAAAATTATGTTTTGATTACTTTCAAGTGGTGTTTCTTCCAATTACTGGTTATCTCTGGGAAACGGTGCTTCTTTCAAAGATAATACTAGAGAGAAATTCCCCAGAGTCAGAAGAGGAAGCAGGAAAGGCATTCATGGCCTTAAAAAGATCAGGGCTTTTGAAGTGCTGCTTATGGGGTTGCATATTTTCATTACTACCGTCTGCTTTATAATAATGTTTTAAAAGCCAATAAGTGATAAATGGGTACATTTTTTGGTAGCTCAGGATGAGTGGCATCATGTAGCTGACACTTATATGTGCCAAGCACTGGCACTGATGTCACACCACAGGACAACAGAAGACAGCAGTTCTCAAACTAGTCCCTAAACCAGCAGCATCAGTAATATCTGGAATGTGTAAAAAATATGAATTATGGAGCCCTATTCCAAACCCATTGAATCAGAAACTCATAGGCTGGGCTCAGTGATCTGTGTTTTAAGAGGGTCTCCGGATGAATCTGAAACATGCTGAACTTTAAGAACCACTGTCACAGAGTTAAGCTTCCAGGCCTTGGTGTTAAATAGCTCCCTCTTGAATCTTTGCTCTGACATTACGACTATGTAACTTGGGACAAATTTCTGAATTTCAACCTTTTTTGGAAAGGTTGAAGATAATAATTTTCCATTTTTCTGGAAAATGAAGATAATTTTCCATTTTTCATTGAACTTGTTTCAATACTAAATGAGGTTTAAAATAATTGCAAAGCCTTTTAGTACAGTCTCTAGACCACTGATTTACCTTATTGAGTCCCCACCTAAATGCTAGAGTAAGGATTATTATTCCTCCATAGGGTTGCCAGATACAATGAATAAAAATACAATATGCCCAGTTAAATTTGAATTTCAGAGAAAAAGTTATTGTATACTGTTGCATATGTCTATGTGCTTTGCTAGTAGTGCACGGGACATACTCCATACTAAAAAAAAATTATTCATTGTTTTAGCGAAATTCAAATTTAACTGGATATCCTATATTTTGTCTTGTAACCCTGTTCCGAAGCTTCAGCTGAAAAATGCAGCTTAAACAGGTTAAACAGGTTGAATAATTGTCCAGAGTCACAGGGTTAGCTATGTAATTGGGATTAGAGTCTTGGTGTGGCCCATTTCAGCACCAGCTTCTGTTTTTACATGATCCCCCAACCCTGGCAACATGTGGAACCAATTAATTCTCTGGAAGGACTAATTTCCTTCCCTTTTTAAAACCATTATGGAATTGTGAACATATATGTAGGCAGAAAGGACTGTGTGGTGTTGCATTTCCTATTTCTGAGTGTATTTTCTAATATCCAAAATTCTCTCAAAATTCTCTTACCTTCATTAAGTAAAGATGGGGGGAAATCCATAGATTACTATACAGAGTTTACATCAGTGTTAAACACAGGTGGTATTTGTTCATTAAACAGTATTCTCTTTCCCTTTCTTTTTTCCCTGAGATAGGGTCTCACTCTGTCCCCTAGGCTAGAGTGCAGCAGTATGATCATACCTCACTATAGCCTTGATCTTCTGGGCTCAAGCAGTCTTCCCACACAGGCATGCGGCACCATGCCCAACTAATTTTTTATTTTTATTTTTAGTAGAACGAGGTCTCACTATATTGCTCAGGCTGATCTTGAACGCCTTAGCTCAAGCAATCCTCCCTCCTTGGCCTTCCAAAGTGCTGGGATTACAGGTATGAGCCCCTCCATCCGGCCATCTGTCTCTTTCTTGAAGTCATCTTTATGAGGCAGCAGGATAGAGTCTGGAGGCAGGGAACCTAAGGATGTTTCTAACTGACTTCCTAGAACTAAATTGAAAGGAAAACCCTAATTTCCCACATCCAAGTAACAAAAGGAACAGAGGTTACTCCTTTGCAAACTCCTCCCCTTTTCTGCACCGCAGATGGAAAATAAGCTATCTGCAATAAATCAGACTGATTGCGGGTTGAGTCTTCCATTTAAAACTTTGTAACTTCACTCCAGCCCCTGAATGGTTGTTGTCCACAACCAGTCAAACTGATTGCAGGCCAAGTCTTCATTTGCGTGGACATATAACCCTAACGTCACCCTAGCCTCTGATTGGTTGCTTTTTGCAACCAATCAGGTGTCTGTACAAGAGTGTGACCTTTGTAACTTTACTTCAGCCTCTGGTTGTCTGCTTTCTGTAACCAGTCAGACTGATTGCAGGCTATCACTTCATTTACATGAGGTGAGCATGAAGTGGCCAGTGGGAAACAGCTAAGTGGTATGTGGACCCAAGAAGATTCTGTATCCAGACCGTCCAGACATCACTCGGGCTAGCTCCCACACTGTGGAGTGTACTTTCATTTTCAATAAATCCCTGCTTTCGTTCTTTTGTTGCTTCATTCTTTGCTTTGCTGGGCATTTTGTCCAATTGTTCAAAATGCCAGGAACCTGGACAACTTGCAGTCACGACCCTCTACCAGTGACATATCTTGGCAAACCAGCCAGGAGAAAAGGTAGGCCAAAGTCGGGAATTTATTTTTCTCCTTTTCCCTTTAAAATTTTTCTGTCTCCAGGTTCATCTATGTCCTCACAAAGGACACGTGGGAGCATCTCACACTGGGGTCTGTCGGGGGGGAAATAGGGGAGAGACAGCAGGGAGTGGGGAGTTGGGGAGAAATAGCATGGGGAGAAATGCCAGATATAGGTGATGGGGAGGAAGGTAGCGAATCACACTGCCACGTGTGTACCTATGCAACAATCTTTCATGTTCTTCACATGTACCCCAAAACCTAAAATGCAATTTAAAAAAAAAAATCTTTCTGTCTCTCCCTTTCCAACTCAGTACCCTCGTGGACAGCACCTAAGCATGGAGACAACTAAGTTTCTGGCCAGGGCCACTCTCTGGTGAAACTGAAAGTTTCCACGTGGAAGCGCCTGACTGCTACCGCCCAGTTCAGGTGAGGGATTGTTAAAAACAAGAAAATCCCCTCCGTGCAGGCTGACCCCTTCCCTGCTCTGCTTGCCTGCAGCTGCATTTCTAAACCCTACCTAGGCGCCATATCAGGGCTGTCAGATGTGCTGCAATTAAGCAAAGCCTGATTGCAGCCATCCGGGCAGCTCGAGGGAGGACAGGGAAAACATATGTTGGTTATCCATACTTGTAAATTCCTGTTTGACACATATCTGTAAAAAAAAAAAAAAAAAAAAAAAAAAAAAACTCCTGGTTTCTCTCTTTTTTTAAAAAGAGTGCTGCCACAAAAGTCACAGGATAATGTATTGTAGGTCTGCTACAAGTAAACAAACTATCTCTGTGCCTGTTGCCAGTGAGTAGATTACCTCAGTCCTAAAACCTCCTTGTGCCCCTCTCACCCTATATAAACCCGTCCTATAATAAGCTCAGGGCTGCCTCCTCTGATTGTCGTGGAGCAGCCTGGAAGGTTAACAAAACTTTCTTGCCTGACTTTGGGTCTATTTTCCTTTCTCTCAGCTACCCTTTCAGGTTATAGTCCCCGAACATTACGTGTGACGCAGTTGGCTGTGGCATCTCAGCTCATCCAGGGCAAATTTACACGTTTCAGGTGACTTAAACCCCTCCTTATGCTGAATGCTTCCCTTCCCCCACTTGACTGGCTAAGGACAGAAAACCCACCTAGCTATGCAAAAAGGTTAAACCAGTCGGATGGCCCGTGCATGTCATAGGTGGTCTATGTGGTGCATGGTGGGGGGAAGGATTGATATATAAGTTGAGAAAGTCAGAGTTGCTTTAAGTGGGATAGAAAAACCTTAATGAAAGTTTACAGTAAGTCCTCAGTGATGGAGGGAATTATTCCAAAGCAGTGCTGGCACCCATCTAAGGTTGGCGACGTCCAACAGACTAAGTCGGTGCCCTAAACGGGGGATACCCCCAGGGACCCTAGTCCGGTTCCATAATTTTTCCAGGGGAATGCCCTAGGTGAAATTTGGGTCACCTAGTGAGCCCTCCACGTTTCAAAGTCTCTTTTCTAGATCACTATGGGCAACTCTCCACCTATTCCTCCTGATTCCTCGCTTGAACAATGTCCCAGACCACGTTAAAAAACTGGGTAACCCGCTGGCATGGTATAGTGGAAAACTGGGGAAGAATAGAACAGCAGTGCCAGTCACAATACAGCTTAAGGACCCCAGCACTTTTCCTATAGAAAACAATACCCAATTAGGCAGGAAGCAAGAAAAGGCCTAGTGCCCATAGTTGAAGTATTACTTACCCATGGGCTCTTCAAATCCCCTGCAATATCCTCATCTTATCTGTTCGAAGGCCTCCAGGGGAGTAGTGGTGAGGACGGCCTCAGAGTAATTAATGAGGCTGTCATACCCACCCACCTATTAGTGGCAGATCCAGATACCCTCCTGGCTCAGGTGTCAGGGGATTCAAAATGGTTCTCAGTCCTAGACCTAAAAGATGCTTTTTTTCTCCATTTCTCTGGCCCCAGAGTCCCAACACCTTTTTGCCTTCAAACAGGAAAACCCTAGTACCAGGAAGAAAAGAAATATCCTTGGAGAGTACTCCTTCAAGGTTTCAGGGATAGACCCCAGGTCTTTGCCCAGGCCTTAGAGAGGGACATGAGGAGGGATCCGCAATTGGAAAATGGGAGTATACACCAGCATGTGATGACCTTCTTGTGTGCAGCGCAACTTGGGAGGTTTCCGACCAAAATACTGTAAAAACTTTGAATTTCCTGGGAGACGGGAAAAAAGAAGGTACAGATCACCCTCCAACTGGTCCAATATTTAGGGTATGTCTTAATACCCAGAGCCCAGCAAATATCCCCAAATGAGTGTAAGCCATATGTGGTCTGAGGGCCCCCACACACCATGAAGTAGCTTCATTCTTTTTTGGAGAATGGCTAGTTTTTTCAGAATATGGGCACCAAATTTTAGGATCATAGCAAAGCCCCTGTATGAAGCAATAAGGGGGCCTGAAAATGAGCTGATAGAATGGACCTTGGAAATGAGAGAAGCCTTTGCCGAGTTAAAACAGGCTCTCACACAGCTTCTGCTCTTGGCATCCCAGATCTAACTAAGCCCTTCTTTTGTATGTAGCAGAGAAGAAGGACATAGCTGTAGGTGAACTCGACCAGAAATTAGGTTCAAAACCCAGACCAACTTCCTACTTTTCAAAGAAGTTGGATGGAGTAGCCTCAGGGTGGCCAAGTTGGCTGCAGGCAATCCCAGCCACTGTTATGTCAGTGGAGGAAGCCACTAAAATCACCCTGGGCAAACCACTGAAAATTCTAGCCCTCTAGAAGGTAAAGTCAGTCTTAGAGATAAAGGGACACATCTGGATGATGTGGGAAAGTTAACCAAATACCAGGCCATGCTCCTAGACAATTCAGATGTAACCCTTAAAAGCTCTCTGAATCCAGCTTCATTGCTGCCCCCAGGTCCAATAACTGATCATTCCTGTGAGCAGGTTATTGCTCACACATATGTTAGCCTACCTGATTTAAAAGACCAGCCTCTACCAGATTCTGAGGATGACTGGTTCACAGATGGCAGTCGTTTTGTGTCAAATGGGGAGTGCCAAGCTGGACATGCCACAGTAAAACATAACACAATTATCAAAGTCCAGCCACTGCCCCCTGGCACATCAGCACAAAGGCTGAAATCATTGCTCTTACTTAAACATTAATGCTGGGACAAGGAAAAATGCTTAACATCTATACAGATTCTAAATATGCATTCCTATGGTTCATGCTTATGCTACAGTCTGGAAAGAAAGGGTGCTACTAACTAGGAAACACTCCCTTATAAAACATGGGCCTGATTCTTCAGCTATTAAAAGCAATACAGTTGCCAAAGGCCGTGGCAATATTTCGTTGTAGGGGGCACCAAAGAGGCTTACCCCCTATAGCACAAGGGAACAGCAAGGCTGACAGAGAAGACACAGCCACAGCGTTCAGGCTGAAATCCCAACAGGTCCTAACACTGCTCACTTTCTATGGTTCCTCAATAGAACCTGAGAATGCACTACAGAAAGAACAGCTAATAAAGGAACAAAGGGGACAAAAACAAGGATCCTGGTGGTATATGGGGTCAAAAACATCTCTCTCAGACAGTCCAGTGGAAAGTTAGAAAAGCCCTGCATGCCCCTTTCCATGTAGAGAGGATGCAACTCTAGCCACGGTAAGCAAGCTCTTTACCAGGTCGAACTTAGCTTCAGTGGCTCTGAAGGTCTGAGAAGCCTGCTCACTATGTGCACTTAACAACCCAGGAAACAAAATGCCTCCTCTAATAGAACCAGTGCAGAGGAGACAAATTTACCCAGGGGAAGACTGGCAATTAGACTTCACCCATATGCCAGCTTGCAGAGCACGTAAGTTTTTGGTAGTGCTAACAGATACCTTTACTGGTTGGGTCGAAGCTTATCCTCCCAGAACAGAGAAGGTTAATGAGGTTATAGTTTTTCTTAAAAGAAATAATCCCGCTGGGCGCGGTGGCTCAAGCCTGTAATCCCAGCACTTTGGGAGGCCGAGGCGGGTGGATCACAAGGTCAAGAGATCGAGACCATCGTGGTCAACATGGTGAAACCCCGTCTCTACTAAAACTATAAAAAATTAGCTGGGCATGGTGGCGTGTGCCTGTAATCCCAGCTACTCAGGAGGCTGAGGCAGGAGAATTGCCAGAACCCACGAGGCGGAGGTTGCAGTGAGCCAAGATCGCGCCATTGCACTCTAGCCTGGGTAACAAAAGCGAAACTCCATCTCAAAAAAAAAAAAAAAGAAAGAAAGAAAAAGAAATAATCCCCGGTTTGGGTTACCTCAGAGCCTCCAAAATTATAATGGCCCATCCTTTATCTCCCAGATAGCTCAAGAGGTTGTTAAGGCTCTTGGTATAAAATACTCTGTACATTCAGCTTGGAGGCCTCAATTCATCCAGGAAAGTAGAAAAGGCTAACCAAACTCTAAAATGAGTATTAGCTAAACTACATCAGCAAACATCAGAAATTTGGGTCAACTTACTGCCCATAGCCCTCTTAAGCATCCGTAATACCCCTAGAACAAAAATTAATGTAAGTCCATTCAAAATGTTACATGTAAGGCCATTCTTAACTACTGACTTAATTACTGACCCAAAAACAGCCGGTTTAGTAAAATATCTGGTCAACCTAGGACAATTTCAACAGGCTTTACAGAAGTTTGCAATTCAAAGGATCCCCGCACTGGAAACTAACCAGCAACCCAAAATCAGGCCAGGAGATATGGTACTTGTAAAAACATGGAAGGAGGGATCACCTGCTCGACAATTACAACCCAAATGGAAGGGGCCATTTTCAATAACACTAGTCACACCTTCTTTGGTCGAAGTACTAGGATTAGATAGCTGAATATACCTTTTCAAGGATCAAGTCTGTGATACCTGAAGTTCCAGACCTGAAACCTGAAGCTCCCATCAGCCACCATACATGTGAACATGTGGAAGACTTGAAGTACCTGTTTAGAAGACAGCCAAGAGATAAGTAAATGCCCACTAACTTTCCTTGGTGTCTTTGTTGCATATTACTGTAGGCTGAATAATAGTAGCCATTTTTTATGTTTGCAGTTTAATTGCCTTCTTCCAAATGGATGGAATCGCTTCCTTTGCAGTAATCAAGCAGAATGTTTAATTTCTGTAACAAACATTTCTGACAGCATAGGTATCCACTCCCAAAATTCCCATTAAATCTTTCAACAGAATTCATTTCCTCTTGACTAGAGACCATCACGCTTCAGATAATCATGTGACAAGGTTTCTGGCCAGCTCCAGGTGAAGGCACCACCCCCCAGCCATCAAAGAGCCACCTGTCTCCACTAGACAGATTAAGGTGAGAAATCCATGATTTCCAACAGGTAGGGACTACGCTCCAAGTCAGCATGAAGCAGTTACAGAAGAAAGACCTTCAGTCCCTCTGCCTCCCGTAAAGATTTATGGGGATCACGTCTCTCAAGGGCATGATGAGGCAGGAGAATAGGGACTGGAAGCAGGGAACCTAAGGCTGTTTCACGCTGACTTCCTAGAACTAAATTGAAAGGAAAACTGTAACTTTCCACACCTAAGTAACAAAAGGAACAGAGGCTACTCCCTTTGACCTTCTCTGCACTGCAGACGGGAAACTGGCTGTCCACAACCAGTCAGACTGATTTCGGGCCAAATCTTCATCTGCACAGAAGTATAACCTTGTAACTGCACCCTACCCTCTACTTGGTTGCTTTCTGCAACCAATCAGATGTTTGCACAAGAGTGTGACCTTTGTAACTTCACTTCAGCCTCGGGTTGGCTGCTTTCTGCAATCAATCAGACTGATTGTGGGCTACCACTTCATGTACATGAGGTGAGCATGAAGCAGTCAATGGGAAACTTCTAGGGGATATTTGGACCCAAGAAGATTCTGTATCCAGGCTCTTGAGCCACTGCTGGGCCCTGCTCCCACACTGTAGAGCGTACTTTTGTTTTCAATAAATCCCCACTTTCATTCTTTTGTTACTTCATTCCTTCTTGCTTTCCTGGCATTTTGTCCAATTCTTTGTTCA